TACCTAGCTGTCATACCTAGTCTGCCTAGTCATCTCTTGTAGGGCAAACAGGAATGTGATAATTGTTGGTAAGTGGTTCAGTTCTGTTAGCAGTTGTATTTTCACTTAATCCTTTTTCTTGTCTTCAGGTGGCCAAGATTGCTGCCAATCCTGAATCCAGACTATGTAGCCAAGAAGATCATCCATGCTGTGCTAACAGACAAGGTCTTCCTGCTGCTGCCCAAGAGCTTGTACTTCATTGCAGCTCTTAAGAAGTTAGTGTCTACCTTTTTTTTTCTCTCCAACATAACTGCACTGAGGTTACACACATCCCTCTACATATAGAGCTTGCCACTGAATACCATATCTACTGAGTCATTCAGTCAGTGCAGTCATTTTAGAAATAAAATAATTCATACCCATTACCTACTGCTCTTTTTATATACCCGGGACACACTGCCTGCGTGATCGTTACACATATCCTTCGTAATTGAAATAATTCTACTGACTTGGTTTACCTCTTTAGACAGCCGTTTTCTACAGGTATTGACACCTAAATGACATGGACATAAGCACCCCATTACTGATCCTGTCAGCTGGTATCATGAATGCTGCACTCGTACTTGTACCAATGGCTCATTAGTATTCAGTGCCACTTTCAGTCTAATGTAGCATATCTGACCACATGGTGTCATGGTGAAGGCTTCCAAGAATGTTTGTGGTTTGAAGCTTAACTCTGGTGCTACTGACTTTTCTACCCAGGTTTTAGCTCAATAGTTATTTAGTCTATCGCTATTGTTGTGTAATAGTAGTATGAAGTAAAGAACATTAATGACTTCATTCATATTATTGATGATCACACCACTAGTATTTTCTTTTTCATGCCCTTGCTCAACTGTGAGACACGCACCCCGACCCCCTGCTCCCTGGCATGACCCTAAATGTTAGAGGTCAGCCTGACTAGAACAGGTGGCCTCAAAGTGCAAGGATAATTCCATTTAGCCTTGCTAACTACTTTCTTAGTAGTAAGTTTAGTGAGAAGTCAAAATCAGGTAGGGTGGCCTTTCAGATGCTGCAGCGGAAACACCCCACTCACATCAATTTTTGAATGGGGTTAGTGCGTTTAGGCTGCGGCAGTGGGGGCCGCAGTGGAGGCAACTGCAGCTGAGACGTTGAAACAGAATCAGAGAAAAAGAGCCCAACGTCATGTTGTGGTGGCCAGTCTGGTGATCAAGCTAGTCAAACAGGCACTGTGCAGACAGAGTTCATAGACCAACTATGACAAATGATGATACGCTACCAGTTTTGTTCATTTTATGTAGCCAGCTTCAGTATTTGTGTCTGGCTTGCGGTCTATTCTGCAAAATAGCGCTACCAAGAAGCTTTCTATGGTTGAACTACATAGACAGGAAATGGCAAAAAGAGAATGCTGGTAGAGAGAAAACAGTGAAATAAAATGTTTCACAGTGGCCACATCCCGAAGCACATTTAAACACACCCAAACTGCTGCACAATACTGTGGCTAATTACCGCAAAGCCTGATTTGGTTTGGATTGGCCCTTAGTGTCTTGATTGAACTTGGACCCCGCTGCATGGTGACTCCCTAAGGCTTTATGGCTTCCTTTTATGGCGTTAAAATATCTTAAATATAATTTTGACAGGTCTTCAAAATTGATTGGATTAATGAAGTTAATATTACTTGTACAAAGTTGCATTTTACAGTCTCTATTTTAAATGTTTTTTTGGGAAGAATTTGAATAGATCATGCTGTAACAATTACAAAATGAAACCCACATGGAACCATTACTAACTTTTCTTGATATCCTTCATACTTTTTTGCCAATATAGATGTGAAAGGTTTTAAATGGCATCCATAATGATCTTTAAAAGTCTTAAATTAAACCTTATGAAACCTGCAGAAGCCCTGCTTTTAATTGTGTTCACTGTATTAATTGATGAATATAGCAGCTACTTACATTAAGTGCAGGAAGAGACTTTAAGATATTCTGTGAGGGGGAAATTGTGAAATCTGTCTGCATTCAAAATCATACTGGGCAATCATTTTGTTCACAGTGAGCTACTATACAGCCTGTGACTCAAATTAAAATTAATTTGCAATTCAAAGTATTAATTATACTTATTTCAATGCACATTATGCGCAAATGTTCAAACATTTTAGTGTTGTTGATACAGTAGGGGTGTAAGGAAATATTGATATATAATTTTGGAAAATTTGTGTCGATTCTGTGATAAATGCAGATCCAATTTTATATATGTGGTGGTGTTTTTTTTGTTATACTATCACAGATTTCCTAAAATGTTTTTTTTTTTTTTAAATGGCAGTATATCACCTTGCTTACAGTTTTGCAATATATTGAATTGTAAACCCTGTATCACCTATGTCACAGTTCATATTTCTATGGCCATTTTACCCATACACAAGGATTAGGCTCTGTTTAACAGATGGCAAAAAGCATGGTGAGTTAAAGCCATCCTTAGGTCCTCTTTACATGAAAACTAGTGTGTATGTAGCAATATGGCTGGAAGATGACTCCCCGAAACATTTTCCTTTGACCAGGGGTCTATGTTTTGTGTCTGTTACACCAGGTAATGTGTTTTTGTGCAATGGCCTTGGTTACAATTGGTCTTGTAATGGCAACACTGCACATGAATTCCATTTTGCTGCTCATGACGTACTGTTTTTATTGAGAGGGGTCACAGGGGAGCTGATTCAGTGCTGTGGTAATTTTCAGGCCGTACCTCTTTGGCATTAATCATCTACTACCACAACCCATGTTGTGTTGATGAGCTTCTGTATGTTACCAGTGTTCTATTAGCCAGTCTATATTTGGTGTATCCTGTAATGATGTTTGTGATTGGTCCCCTTGACAAATTAAATAATTTTGTTTGCTTGTGCAATTCAGATAGTTTAGCACTTTGTTGTTAAAACCCTTCTCATTGGACCTCTTTTATAACTGATCCTCACCCATACTTGGTGACTATGGGTGAGTTTGGTAACACTTGTAGCTGAATTTCCAAATGTTGTTTTGTCACTTAAAAGTTAAACATTTCTCATGTATTGATAGCCTAAATCACATACCAACCACAATTCCTTGCATGTTCCTCTAATTCTCCCATTTCAAAGGTGCGAGATAAAAAAATATTATTGATCATATTTGTATTAATTTGAAGATTCATTAAATGACTGTTACCAAACTAGATAAGCTCAGGGAACATTTTCAGCCTTTCCTGGGCTGCACACACTGCCTTTGACCTTGTGTGCCACTTATGTTAGGTTGGTTGAGCTCTGAAAGAAGCAAAGACAGTGTTGAATTTTGAATGATTTGTCCCTTGACCTCATGCTGTCCCTCCGTCATCCTCTCCAGCATTTTACAGTGGAAGGTGACCTCCCTCCTTGGCTCTTACCTGGGTTTGTCAATCGAAGTAGACTGCCACACTAATCTCAGTATGCACCGCAAATTGCACTAACACAACTTCCCTGCATCTCTGCCTGTCAAAATGGTTGTCAATGATGTTATGGGAAAGGTTGATTGAATGTTGTATTTGGGTGATAAATTTTCATTATTGGTGGTGAATGAGGTAGCATAGGCTATATTCACACTGCAAGCCTCTGTTGCCCAAATGTTTTTGTTTGGCTGTTCACTTTTCTTTATATAAAGAATAAGTGAACCAAACAGCCAAACAAAAAGATTTGACCCATATCAAATTTCAGTGTGAACTGGACAGTCCTGAACTGACCCACATGTGCACAAGAACAATAACAGAGATGTCACATGCAGCACGCTGTCATACAGTAGTTAACATGTAGGCCACTGAAGATGACGTCTACAGGTTAATTTATAAGTTGATGCTCAGTGACAGCCAGCAAGTCTGAGCAAACACACACTGGTTACGATTCAACCTCTCAACTTTTGCTTGTCACCCCAAATACTTCTGAGGTCTAACACCCCGCTGTCCCTCCACTCACTACCTCCTTTGCAGCTGAGTGACTCCCACCAGTACAAAGTCTGACAAATGTCGATATAGTGTGATGTAAAAGTCAATTCTGATGACTGTTTACTCTGAGGGTCCCATTGCAAAAATTCTGACTTTTATCTGATTTAGACCACATATGAAAGTGGCCCAAAGATGTGATTTGTGCTGTCCACACTGTCATGAAAAAAAATCAGATCTGAGTCGCAATAAAAATAAGATATGGGCCACTTTTTGCGTGCAGTGTGAACATAGCCAAAATGTCATATATAACATACCATAGTCAGATGTGTTACTTATGTTTGGTTGCAAAGGGGAGTTGTGGTTTATTAAAACTTGGGTCTTATTTTACTCTGTTTGGCCATCATTTCTATCAGTTACAAGAATACTGTACTCACCAAAGTCATTGCTGAGATCTGGGCGATCCATCTCTGAAGGATTAAGAAATGCAGTCAATCTTTAAACCAGCCAACAATTTATCCAGAATTCAGTTATTTAGATTATTTAAACCACCGTCAAATTAAAAGTCAGTGCAGCTGAAATTACTATGGCAACAACTAAAGTGAGGCATCCAAGGCACTACAGATGAAAGGAACCACATCAGGTCTAAAATGAAGTTAAGGAAAGACTATTAGCATTTGAATAAATACCAACAAATGATGCATTAGTTCTGATTAATTTCAACTAGAGTTACACCGATTGGGAAATGCTGTGCTGATACTACAATTTAAAAAAAAAAAAAAAAAATCTTTTTTTTCCTCTTTTTTTTATTCAACCTTTTGTGCCAGGGAAACAACACATTTTACAAAGATAATTTTACAAAGATAAACATCTATTCCTTGTTGCAGCTCATTTTTTTTCTCTTCTCATCCAATATGTTAGAACCAAAGCTGAACAGCCACTCTCTGTACTGCTGTATGGAGCACACGTGTAATTCGTGCCAGTGCTGGAAAGCGGAGGTGATTTTTTTTACAAGTTGGAAATAACCAACACAACATTTAAGTAGTGCAAAATTAATTAAACAAAAGATAAACATTGACCACTGACATATTATTTGCAGATGTTTGTCAGTCAGTGCATCACTAATTCCAACTGTCATCAATTATATATCATCAGTTAACTTTGGTGAGTCTGGTGTTGTTATTCCTGAAGAACAAACGGAAATGGAAAGAATGAAGGAAAAAAATAACTAAACCAGAAATCCTTTAAGAACTTGTTCTCTGGCACTAATTTACTTTGTGTCAACTATGGGGAGCACTGTTATTATGGTGGTTGTGACTTAAGCATACAGCACAATAGCACAACACTCAGGATAATTTTTCAGAGGTATCTTATCACCAGTACTATTGTTGTGGTTTGATTTATGGGGACAATGCACTGAAGAACAGAGGTGACAGCATGGTTTGTCTTTAATGTTCAGTGTTTTTAGACATAAACAACTATCACCGTTTCAAAACCGAATCTGTTTGGTAATGTCATCAAGAGACAAACAGCACACCTTTTTATTATATTTGTGGCTGCAGACAGCATGAGGGTGTTTTATTGTTTGCTGGTACTCGAGCAGGTTCAAGCAGGAACAATGGAATAATTATGCTCTGGGTGTTTAAAGCTCAAATATCCTATCCTAGGTGATGTGTCGTCATGACTCTGTTCTCTGGTTCGACAAAAGCTTGTACAGGTTCTGATTGAATGTGACTATTATTATTTAAACACTAGTTAATATTTAAACAGTAAAATGTGCCAAATTATTGTGCCTAGTTGGTCATTTGTCTCTGCAGATGCAGATGTTGTTGTGTTTAATAAAGAGTGTTTATGTTGTCATGAATATGAATTATTTTTCCTTATAATAAAGCCAATACTAACATCTCATCAGCCACAAATAGGGTGTAGCACTGCAGCTTATGTGTATTTGAATAAT